TGCTGCTGCTGCTGCTGCTGCTGCTGCTGCTGCTGCTGCTGCTGCTGCTGCTGCTGCTGCGTTTCCGCGACGCTTCCCACGTCTGGTCTTGCTGCTGCAGGACGCGCTGGGCCGCATTTGCCTGGACATTTTAAAAGACAAGTGGAGCCCCGCACTTCAAATTCGAACAGTTTTGCTTTCTGTTCAAGCTTTGCTTTCCGCCCCAGAGCCCGACGACCCCCTGGACACCCGCGTCGCCGATCATTTCAAAAACGACCGCCAGGCAGCAGAAGAAAGAGGTGAGGACTTCTTGCTGCGAAAGCTGCAGCGCAACTGCTGCAGCACAGCTGCTGCAGCACAGCTGCTGCAGCGCAGCTGCTGCAGCACAGCTGCTGCAGCACAGCTGCTGCAGCGCAGTTGCTGCAGCACAGCTGCTGCAGCACAGCTGCTGCAGCGCAGTTGCTGCAGCGCAGCTGCTGCAGCACAGCTGCTGCAGCACAGCTGCTGCAGCGCAGCAGCAGCTGCCCGAAGCCGCTGCGCAGCAGCTGCGGCGCAGCAGCTGATGCACAAGGGCTGCGCCCAGCTGCAGAGCAGCAGCTGCAGCAGGGCACTAGCAAGCAGCTGCAGCAGAACAGCTGCAGGCAGCCGCAGCAGAACATGCTGCAGCAGAGCAGCTGCGGGCAGCTGCAGCAGAACAGCGGCAGCAGAGCAGCTTGCGGGCAGCTGCAGCAGAGCAGCTGCGGGCAGCTGCAGCAGAGCTGCTGCGCCCTGCTGCAGCACAGCAGCTGTGGGCAGCTGCAGCAAAGCATCTGTGGGGGTTCTTCTGGCTGGAGTTTCGTTTTAGTTTGCTGCGTTCTTGTGCGCTTTAGCACGGCAGTGGAGGGAGATGTACGCTGGGGATGAGACAATAACGCTGGACTAGAAAAGGGGGAAGAAAATAAAAGTGGAAAAGAAAAGAGCCGCCATTAAGACGTGCCGAAAGACCTGCGGAGGTGTTCCCTTGCAGTGTACGTACACCGCAACTTTTGTTAGCTGCAACTGCTGCAGCAGCTGGTTGTCGAGGCTGCTTCCTAGAAAGGCAAAAGCGTCTTGGCCGCAGATGTCCAGATAGCAGATTCTGCGGACTTCACCGCGACAGGCAAACAGTACAATCACGACATATGTGAAATATATACACAAACAAAACGATATGAGTCTCGCCAGTGTGGTATAGTTTGGTGTTTAATTCCAGTACTAGACTAGAATGGGGTGCGAGCACCGCCTGTGCTCTTTGGGCTTAGGATGGAGTCGCCCACGAAATAGATTTACTGTTATTTACTGTTAGTCTCAATACTATTAATCTACGCGTACTTGTTTTGCTGCGGGGTTTGTTATCTTGTTCTCACCTCATCTAGTTCTAGATGAGCTTATCTATGCTGGGAGTTTTTGATTGTTCAGACGAGTTTCACCAGTAAATCCATTGGTAGAGTACTTAGAGCAAATTGAAAAAAGCCATTATGAAGAATATTACGGAGTTTTAATATATTGTTCTGCACGCAGTAGAAAACACTCGGGCAAAGCAGAACGAAAGCTGCACACGCGTAGCGGTCGGAGCTTCGCCTTCCGCTACTGTGTTGTAGTAACGCGGTGACTTCGTGGGGGCTGCATGCAAGCAGCTGAACTTCGTAATTTCCTTCGACAAGTGCAGCAGACTACGCAGCAACTGCAGGGCAGCTGCATGCAGCATGGGCAGCCCTCAGTTGCAGCATTGCGGGCTTCGCGGTGTAGCGAGTTGAGCAAAATCATACTTTATGCGGAGACAGAATCTACGCGTTTGTTGTACAGGCCTACAGTTCGACAATGGCAGCACCACTTTGTCTTCTGAGAAGAGAAGGCTTGCCACTGTGTCTGTGGAGTTCTCTCTGCTCCGTTCTTCTGTTTCCTATGCAGCAGCATGCTCGCTGCCGCTGTGCGTCACTCTTTCACAACTAAGTCTATTATATTTGCATGTTCTATTTGCACTATTAAGAGCACTACATTACTAGTTCTACTGCAAGAAACTTGTAAAAATCGGTACAGGATTTGAAATTGCAATAGTTTTCACTGTTCAGCAGTAACTGCTTCCATGGGCACTAAAGCTGCACCTGTACATACGTAGATGGGAATATATTCTTCTACATTGCAGTTTACACCTTAGTGCGTAAAATTTGGCAAATGGGAGAGCAATGAAGCCACAAATAAACTGATGGCACTCCTGAAACCCCGCCCCCAATATCCAAGAGCCACGGCCCCCCCTCAACTGCCAGGGCAATATATACTCCAAGCACAGCCAAGCTGTGATACTTGGCTGTGAAGAGTCACTAAGGGCTTTAAATTTGTGGCCTGTAGCGCCATCGAACCCTTAGTTTCATTGGTGAATGAGCCTCAAGCAACAAACCACGATGTGCACTTAGACTGAATCAACAAAGAAGCCACGAGCTGGCTCCGGCGCTGCGGGCTCCCCTAACTGTTCCTAGGTAACCGCTCACTCACTGCTTATTGCTGCTTAGCTGTTCAAGAGCTGCTGCTGATTCACACTGTTCACTTCTGGGTGGTGAGTTGCAGCTTGGCGCTCTGGTCCGGGACAAGGAAGGCACAAATGAGACTCAGGAGGGTGCACAGGAAGGTGAAGGCGCTGGCGATGATGCCGACGACGCCGGAGTAGCCAATTTGGCCAAAGAGAGCCAACACGAAATTCCAGACAAAGAAGTGGGCGTAGCTCTTGCACATCCAGCCCAAATTGAACTCCCCAAAGTGGCAGAAAATGGAAACCATGCCCATCACAAAAGGGGTCCATATGTCGACGAACACATCGGGAATAAACGAGAACATAGCTATACGCCAGGAGTCACGGTTATAGTCCTTGGTGAAACTGTCCTCATACACAACCACGCGGGGAGATACGGCAGGCATCAGAAAGAAGAACACAATAATAGACAGCACGCCACAGGCAAAACCCAACCAGCTCGTGACACGAGCCAGTGTCTGCTTCGCGTCTCCCATCTTCGACGGATATTTTTTGCGTGAATGTAGGAGAAGGACCTAAAACAAAACAGCAAGCAACATGAGACGCGCAAGGCTCCACAGTCTATGTACAGGGACTGTTGTGCGTGGAGGAGTAGATCCTCCCAAATCATCCGAATGCGAATCCACGCTCGATAAAAAAGTCGAAAACCAAAAATATAGCCCCTTTAGGAAAGCAGGGCAGTGGATGGTGACCAGCTACGTGATGCAGCACTGCCCGTTCTCGATAAGGTCGGCCTACGCCCATAACCCAATAGCCCAACCCGACAGAACCATAGGCTTCCAATTGGATTTCCATGTAGTAGCTGCAGGGAATGAACAAATCTTGCTTACTGTATGCAGTCCAAGCTTACTAGTTAAGCCTGAATCTTTCCAAGTCCGCAGTTCAAGACTCCAAGCCGGTTTGACTCAATGCGCTATGCAGCGCACCGAACAGATGTGGGCGTGAGTTTAACGGAATAGTAGAATAAGCTTTCTTCTCAAGCTTACAAAGCCATAATTATGAAGTGCAATCTTTGCGGAGTATGCAACAGCTGTGTTCATGATCGGCTGCAGGCCGCCGCCGTTGGAGAACCAATGGTGTGTCAGCGCTTGCTGCTCGGTAGCACTCAGCTTCAGCTTCCGTCGGCACATCGGCCTTACTCGTTATTTCTCATTGTATTTTAATTAGTTTGCTTAATTTCACACTTTTGCATCATAATTCGTTCTACATGTTGCTGGAGGCCTACGCGGGCCGCCAAATGTTCTCAGCGGCGCCGGTCGCTGTCTAGCTGTTGAGTGTAGTCCTCCGGACTTGAGAACACACAGAGTCTAGTTCCGGGGAAAACGTGAACGTAATTTACTTTAGTATATTTATGGTGGTGCGCAGACGAGGCGGCTCTCAAATGATCAACGCAGCCGTGACGCAGGGGAAGAATTCACAACTGCTTCATGCACGATGCGCGTTCGATCGACTGCAAAATTTGAGGAAATTGCCTCCGGTCAAGGAGAAAAGTGCATAGTACAACTAGTGCTTTCAGTACAAACAGATTGCCTAAGGCTGCCAAAAATGGGCGCCGTGACGTGCATAGGCGAAGCATAATGCTTTATTGGGCTGCATCAGGTCGAACACAAATTAATTGAAAGTATCTAATTGGAACTCAAGAAAAAGTGGCACTGAGAAAGGACTCCAAACATCCAGTGCTGGGATGGGATCAGGCTGGCCTGCCTTCCCACATTGGTAAGGCACACCGCACCAGTCAAGTGCAGTGCCCCCATCAAATCCGTGTTGCATTTTCGTGGCTAAAAGCAGCAGACTCTAAGAAGCGTAACACCTCATGAAACTGCGCAAACGAATCCGTGGGTTGCCCGGGCCCAGCGGGCAGATTCACTCTCATGAATGTGTTTCAAAATACTCCCTAGCTTCGAAACGAATAGAGATCTGCCTGGGAATGTTATGCACCGACAAAAAAGTAAAATGTGGCATTCAATGCTGCGAAGAGGTGGTACAAAGGACGATGAAGCAGTGGAAATGACAGTAGTTTGAAGCCCTGGAAATGCCAGTAGTTTCGTTAACTGGCTGGCGAAAACAACTGGCACGAATTACTGAATTCAAGGTCACACCCCTTAGCTCTTCAGCTGCTAAGCACGGGGGCAAAGCCACGAACAGACGCTGTGGGCCTCAATATAGAAGTAATTCTTATTTTTCATTTCCATCATTTTGAGAATCGTTCTTTGATTTTTATGTTCTAGTGCAACGTGGAGGCTTTGCATCCCCGACGGGGTGAGCCACCAATACGCTCACCCCATTAAAGAAGCCGTCGGCGAGATATGAATTATATTTAGCTGAATCCGCATTATTTGGAGGCATATTCCTAAAGTTTAGCATTCTTTGAAGATTCATGCTTCTGCCGGCACGAAGTTACTTCTAAATTTCTAGCAGGAACTCACTTTTAAATGCTTCACAGAAACTCCGATCTAGCAAAATTAGAGAGATATTTATCTTCAATGAATCACGCCTTGATGTGGCTCTGTGCCTCTATTAAGTATCCCTTCGCAACAGGCCCCGGGCATCAACAGATAAAATTTTAACAGTAGTTCGGCGGTAGTCATACTCACAAAAAGCAAAGGCGAGAACTGCTCATCCATTTGCCGAGTATTTACTGCAAGGCAAGGGATTTAGTAGAAGTAACTATGTTCAAAATGTAGGCTAAATTGCCTCGAGATTGGGTAGCTTACTGCATGATTCCGCACCAAAATTCGGCCACCTGTCCTTCATGCACGAGTAGGCATCCAGTAAAAATTTGCCATACAAGAGCAGACTTGCTTTGGCTGGCTTCCTCAGAATTCAAAATGGGCTGGTTGTAGCAAGCCACTGATTAGTTTTCCAGAGCGAGCAGGTCTGGCTCACAGGCTAGACGCTCTAGTGTTCGTCTCCTCATGTGCAAACCACTTGCTACAAGAAATTTCCCATTTTATCCACATTCCTTCCCCAATGAAGCCTGCACAGTTGAAGCATGCTTCTTAAAATACTACTGAAGTGGCTAGTCTGGCCTTCAGATACACTCTTTGCATATGATGATGGCGGGTGCCTCCACCTACACAGGACTGAATCAGCGAAGATTTCGCAAGTGTGGGTACTTAGTGGCCAATGAAGGCCATATTAAGCATACGATTTCTGGATATAGTCACAGCTTGCAGGATGGAATATCTGCCAGATGGAAGAATAAAGAAGACCTGATCTGAACAGGGCAGACGCAATTGTTCAATAACCAAACAAAGTACACCTAAGGCCTAGCGGGTCCCCTTACTGTTTCATGAATTTCACCGCTAGGTTATGGAGCAAAGCAATTTCATGTGCTCCTACTCACAAAAGCACAATTTTCGTTGAAGCTTTCCCCCATATTTTGTCCCATCTTCCACTTACCGTATATCTGTAGGGAAGTGAGAATAAAGCACCCTGTGCATTCTATTTTTTTCTTATGTGAGGCTTTTGACTCCTAGCAACTTGCAAGAAGCGCGCACTTAGTAGAAGAGCCACATAGAGAAGAAGACAGCAAAGTGGGAAACTAACGGGGATAACGCCGATGCAAGTGACACTATAACCCAAGGTGCCTACCACGCTGGATCTGTTCCCTAAAGTTGCACTGTAGGCCACCCGGCTTCTATGTTGAGGTGCTCTTCAATTACATTTAGTAATTGTACAGGGGAATTCTAAATAAGAGCGAATGCGAGCCGCGCTGGTGATGCTCAAAAGCGGGAGAGCGAGCAATGAAACCGAGGGAAACGGAAAGCCTTCATCGAGATTCGGGAACTGCCAGGATTTCCGCGGCCGAAATCTCAGAAGAAGTAGAGTGCAAAAGATGTACACACTTGTGTACTGAAGCCGTGTGACTGTAAATCATGGCTTTTCTGCAGTGTCGCTCGCCAAACCCTGTCCCACCGTGCACCTTCGCACTAGCACACCCTAACGAGTAAATGATCCTCGTACTGCCACCCAACAACGCAGCCGTTTCTGGCTGATGTTTTAAGATTATACATTTACTCAAATTGCTGGGGTGGGAAGAGAAAGGCAAAGCGCTGGCCCAAAGTGTAGTGGCAACAACTCACAGCTCCCTGAAGCCTCGATTCACAACTACCACATACACCCAGTCAAGCTGGCTTAGACACGTCTGAAGAGCCTTACGTTTGGATTCTATTTTAATTATCTAGTATTTACAAGTCGCTCAATGCATTGGTGCTCCGTACATTAGCAGGTAACTCATCGGCTGCCATTGAAGTCCTTGCCTCTCAGTGGCAGGGAGTTTTCAACTTAATTGCGTAGAGATATGTTCAAAACGTAGTTTGATGTGACTTTATCAGTTGCTGCCATACCCCTTGAAAACGGGGCTATTCAGTTATGTGCAAGACACACAACAAAAGAGGCGGCTTTTGGAAACCCGCTGAAGATCGATTGCAGCATAGCGACATTTACTGTTGACTGCCCACGACGCGCTTCCCACAGATCAAGCCTACGCGAAGTTCTGTTGAGTCCAGTTTTTTCGTATTTTGTCTCATGCTTGCACACAGTATATTTTGTTTGTCATCATTCCTATCGAGACAGCTATTATGGGCGCCGCGCAAACCTAGACCGTTTTTGTCTCTAGGATAGCACGGTACTGGGCGGTGCTTGCCACCCCACAAACTGAACAAATAAATAAGTAAACATTCTTTTTTGAGGCATATCGAGAAAACTTGAGAGGTGAATAAGGCCTGTCATACCTTGAGAGTCAGATCTTGTTCGACCACGCAATGCCGCGTCTCTGGGTGATAGGAAGCATTTGAGATCCAGGGGTAATCATTGAATGCTTCCCCACCCGTCGGAAAGTTCTGGAAACTCAACATTTTTGGGCGTAATCAAGGGTGGAAGGCCGTGTTTTTTCTTCAGTTGTTTTCCCCAGGAGGATGTGTCGCTTGCTGTTGCTGGTCTTCACTGCTGCGCACACTGTAGTTGCAGCAAATGACTGCCTACAGGAAGAAAGCGCAGTGCCTGCCTACAGGAGAATAAACGTGCTGAAGGACGGCGCCGCAGCACACAGCCGGATTATTTCACCTGGTCCGCGCAGAAAGCCGCACCGCAATTGTTCTTTTGTTCCACACAAGAACTCTCCTGTTAGTGCAAGCCTTGCTGTCCTTCTGTCTTCATTGTCTATCGGCTTCATTGTCGTAGCATGCTACGCCTTACTAAGAGCGACGCGGACTGGGAGCGCTGGCGGAAAACGCAGGCGGAGGCTCTCAGGCGTCCAGAGAAGCCCATGCAATGTGAGTTGGAGGCTTCCCCGGGGCACTGGCAGGTGATAGGGAGACGAGCGCTACAGTTTTGGACTGCGTGGTACCCGATTGCAGAGAGAAAATGCTGCATGGAAAACTGCGCCACTGTTTGTCAACGCTTTGTCGGTAGCACGGTGCCAGAATACATAGAGGGAATTAGCTTTTGTCTCTCGCTAAGCGGACATACGCTG